CCTCTGCTGTGGTTCATTCTGGTCCCCTACCCCCTTACTTCCAGCTCCAAAGCGTTTGAAGGCTTCGGGGTCGGGGGCAGGGTTTAAAGGATTCTGAGACTCGGGCAGTTTCAGGGGTTGCCCCTTCCGGGGTGGCGACAGAGGCATTCGAGTCGGTTCCTCCAGCCGTGGCGACGGAGTCTGACCAATGCACCCTCTTCCTTACTGCTTTTTTTGCTGCCCTGGCTTTTTCTTGTGAGGCCTGGGTTTTGGAGGATGACTCGTCCCCCGGGGCCTGATGTGGAGGTTTCCGGGGTTGTGGAGGGGCTGACTTGGGGGCCTAGATGTCCCGCTGGACCTTGACTGGGTTTTCCAACCCTCAGAGTGGGTCTTTCTGTTACAAGGAGTAAGGTTTTACTTTCCCTCTCTCTGAATACGAGTTGGATTTAGGTTCAGCCCCTCCCCGGGATCAGTTCTGTATCCCTTCGGGTCCTTCGGTTCCGTCCTTCCGGAGGTTTTCGGCTTCCTGTGTCTCTCCTACTTAGGAGCAGTTTACCTCCTGCGTGACCCGGAATTTGCCTTTATAATGAATCCATTATCCTTCAGGTTTGGGTCTTCATTTCCATACTGGGTTCGCTATAAGGTTTCGGAGTCGTCCTAGCTTGCAGACTTCCCATTGTTGTCATTGGATGTTTGGAGTACTTTCTGTCGTACCCGCATGCTTAAGTGGCGCGAGGCGTTGACAGTGGTCCAAGTTTACCTAGGGGGCAACTTTGAGCACCTCAATGTGTGTTTGTTCGCTCCCTACCCTTCTGTGGGATGTGGGCGTGGTTCAGCTTTACATGCAGGTTCCCTCCCTGTCGGCTGCGCTTGTGGCTGAGGACTTATGTGCTCGTGTCTTGCTGGCTTCAGTCTTGCATGTTTTTCTCCTCCTGGAGCTGCCTTCGGAATGGCTTGCAGAGGATTTATAGGCACTTGGGCCATTTTTGGGTCCGGTTGTCTTGGTCTTGGCGGCTCATGGGTCGTCTGTGCTGGTGAAGCGCTACACTGCATCCTGCGGGATGCGGTGTAGCAGTTTTTTGCTGCACGTCTCGTGTGTTGCCAGGTTTTGCTTGCTCCCTCTTTTAATCTGCTTGGGCCCCTGGCTCCTAGAGTTTCTTTGCCTTTTTATCCTTTGCTGTTTTCAGTCTGCGGTTGGGCAGTTTCTGCAAACGGCCTCGGCTAGTTGTTTTCCAATGTCGGACTTGTTTGTCCTTCAGGGGGTGGGGGGGGGGGGGGGGATTCCCCGAGGGGGTTCCTCCCGGAAGGGAAGAATTCAGGGTTCCACTCGTCGTGGTAGGCCACAGGTGCCAGTTTCGGAGCCGGCGCCGGGGTTCCATTCGTCGTGGTAGACCACAGGTGCCAGTTTCGGAGCAGTTTTGGGTTGTTTCCGATGGCCTGCGATAGCGTTGGGTAGCCCCCTCCTCCTTTGGGGGTTCAGGACTGACGGGGCAGGCCTCATCTCCTGCGCTCTGTTGGGTCATCTCGGAGTGAGTACGCTTGGGCGTGGTCGAAACGATGACGTCTCTCAGGTTGGTTTCTCACCTGTTCCCAGTGCAGATTCATTCTGGACCTATCCCGTCTGAACCCCTAGGTTTCTTGTCCATCCTTTTGGATAACTACTCTGTCCCAGGTTCTGCTTCTGTTGGAGCTGGCTGTTTGGATGGTGTCCCAGGATCTCAGGGACACATATTGGCACATCTCAATTTATCCGGGGTTCAGGGACTGGCCCACCTTTATTGTGGGGTGTCTCGGTTAATGCCTTCGTTGGTTCCCGTTTGGGTTGACCTTGGCTCCTCGCATGTTCACACGCCTTACCCGGGTCGTGGTGGCCCGTCTGCATCTTTTAGGTGTTTAGGTGTTGGCCTACCTCGACGACTGGCTAGTATGGGCTCCCAGTTGGTCCGCGTGTCTGCTCGCCAGGGATTCGGTTCTTTCCCAGCACGATGGGTTCAGGTTCCTGGTGAATTGGAGAAAGTCTCATTTGATCCCCTCCCAGGTTTGGATCTGGCTGGGTCTTGTGGGGGACTCTCGGACTGCTTACTTGCCTCTCCCTCCAGAGTCTGTCCTTCGGCTGCAGTCCCACATGTGCTTGTTTTGGGGGGCTCCCGAGTCACACAGCGGTTGCTCGAGAGTCTGTGTGAGAGCCTGAACTTTGTGATGATGATCTACCCGCTGGGTCAGGTTTGAGTTTGTCGGCTGTTCTGGTTCCTTCGGGGGATGTCCCTTGCACCTCTCTTGTGATTGCTGGGTTCAATCCCCAGGGGCCTTGCGTCAGCTGTTAGTTGCTGGCTTCCTCTTCGGGTTTTTCAGGGTTCAGTGCCTTGGCACCTACCCAAGCCCTCGCTCGATGTGTTCACGAACACGTCATCTCTTGGCTGGGGCTTTGTGACCAGTGCTCACCAGGGTGGTCAGGGGAGGTGGGGTCCGTCCTTCCGCCGGGCTCACAGCACGGTGCGGGAGTACACGGCAGTGTGGTTTTCACTTTGGAGGGTTCGGGTCGTCCACAGATCGACGATCCGGCTCCACTGGAACGGCTCCCCAATAATTACCTAAGTGTAGTTACAGGATGAGAGCTACGCTTGCAGTGGTTCATTGCTTGAGCCAAGGGGGTTCGATGCGGTCCTTTACTCCTGAGGGCTGGTTGCTTCGGGTGACTCATCTGCTGAGTTCTCAGGGTTTGGCTCTCCTGGCCGTTCACATCCGGGTGGTGTCCAATGTCTTGGCGGACAGCCTGTCCCAGTTCATTCTCCTGTCCACGGAATGGGTGGTTGATGCAGACTGTTGGCTCTGCCGGACGTTTGGACGCCCGGAGGTGGACCTCTTCGCGTTGGCATGGTCGAGGCCTCTTCCGGAATATGTGGTTCCGGTTCTTCTTTCCCCGCCAGTTCAGCTGTTGCTCCAGGTCCTTGCTCGCTTGGAGACTTACCACGGGAGAATTGTCCTCTTGGCCCCATCGTGGCCTTCCCAGTCTTGGTTTCAGGCGCTGCTTGCTCGGTGTCCAAAACCAGAGGTTTTCCTGTGGCTCCGCCTCTTTCAGCAAATCGGTGTGGTCCATTACAAGACGATTTGATGATTTGATCTTCTCTTTGAGTATTCGTGTTTGGTCTTTTTGACTCGAGCCTATCACCAATCTGTTTGGTGATTAGGTGGCTTCTTTGATGGTGTCCCACCGGCAGGCTTCGTCTCGGCGGCATTATGAAGTTTCCTGGCGTCCCTCCGATTCTTTTTGTCACTTCGTCGGTATACATAGCTTTCTGTTAAGGTTGTTTAATCCTTTCTCTCGGTGTTGTTTCAGGACCGTCATCTTATGCCGAATACTGTCGCTTCATATCATGCGGTGCATGTGGAGCTGTTGCAGCTTGCGTTCGGTATTGATGTTACTTCTGCTCCTTTTCGCAAGTTGTCTCGTGTGTTGTTTAACCACTGGCCTGTTCATGCGCCACTTGTGCCGTCTTTGTCTTTGGATCGGGTTCTCTCTTATCTATCTTCTCCTTAGTTTGGTTTGGCACCTTTGGTTCTGGATTGTTTTTCCAAAGTACTTTCCTTGTTGGCATTCGCCTCTGGGGGATGGGTTGGGGAGCTTCATGCTCTTCTCCGGCACAGGGGTTTCTGCACTTTTGGTCAAGGTGATAGGTTTGTTCGTTTGCAGCCATCTCCTTTTCCGGTGAAGAATGAGACCCGCTGCATTCTGGAGGGGTCCTTGGGTTGTTGATGCTTTGTTTGTCAGGCTGGGGGTGCATCATATGTTGTGTCCAGTTCCAGCTTTCCACTGTTGTTTGTGCGCCACGGCTTCTGTGACCGGGGACACGCTTTGGGTTGATCCGGTTTCCCTTCTTCCCTGTTCCAGGGTTCAGGTCTCTCCAGTCATCCGCAGCGTTATTCAGTCCAGCCAGCCTGTGGTCTATCTCCGTGCCCCATGACGTTCTTAAGTTTGCTGCGCTTTGTGCTCTTGTTGCCGTCTTTGATAACATGTCTTGGGCTGACATTCAGGTTTTTGACGGTCGAACAGGATACTGGCTGCACGCTACCTCGTAATTATTCCTGGGCCTAGTCGGGCCTGTGTCGCGTTGGGTCAGCGATTGCAGCCTGTTGTCTTGATTTTGAGTTGAGGTGCGAATGCCGACTGCCTCCCGGGTAAGTCCCTCTTGTTTTGTCTTTTGTGATGTAGCTCCGGGGAGCCGAAAAGGCTCCCCCCAGAACACCAGTGTTGAATATAATGAAACGTTATTTTTTGGGTGAGACCCAGGGACTCCTCTGCAACCCTCCCTCCCTTCCCCCGGTCAGCATTTTTTTCGTGCGTTTTAACATCCAGCCTTGAACTGAGGTGCGGTAGCCGGCGCGAGGGGTCTAGGCCTCCCTCTTCCCTCTTCTGGGGAGGGGAGAGCTGCGCAGACAAGGGTATGGCACGTGTGATGTCATGCTCGTTTTCAATTTGGGATTTCTGTCCACTCATTAGTTTTCAGTAGTAGTTTTAACCAGAATAGAGGTTTGTTTTGATGTGCTTACCTTTCTGGGTGCCTGGCTCGGTCAATGGCAGACATAAAAGGCTCCAAATCACATGTGCACTTCTATAGGCCATTGCTCCTCGTGCCTTTCTGAGGGGGGCCAGGTTCTGGCTCGTGGTCCCCGGTAGGCCTAGAATTCCATTCACACTGATGCCAAAGTCTAGTAATATACATATCAGCTCAAATAGCTCCGCGGAGCTTCCAGGCCTCACCCAGAAAATGGCTCTTCATTACATTCAACACTGATTTTTTTTTTTCAGTTAAAATTTACATCTTATTTGCAGGCGATGAGTCACAATAACGTGGCTGAAGTATGTTGACCAGACAACACACTAGAAATTGAAGGGACGACGACGTTTCGGTCCGTCCTGGACCATTCACAATCGACTTGAGAATGGTCCAGGACGGACCGATACATCTTATTTAATTTGCATCTGAAGAACACCTTTAATTTTATTCTTATTTATTCATCAGGCGTGATGCATGGCGAACATTTAAAGCCCTGTTAAAGGTTCGCTTTATTAATGTCTCTCGGGAAGTGTTAGCTGTCATCTTCTTAATTGTTCTGCCCCTTGCATTTGTTGTTGCATCAATTGCCCTGGCTGGTTCTCAAGATATAGAAGTGTCAGATAAACCTCTTCAATTAGTCCCTGGTAAGTTGATTAATTTTTTTCTGTTTTGGTAGGTATTCCCAGTAAAGATACTTTGAATGCATAAACTTGTAAATTTTTGTTTTGTATTTTAACCGTCTTTTTACAATACAGATTGTTGTGCAATACCTCAACCATGTCTTATTCCTGCCTGAAAAATCTAGCCTTGAATGTAATGAAATACCCCTTTCTTTTGGACCACTCTAGAGCTCTTTTATTCAACAACTTAGAATCAACCAGACATTGAGAGACAACCTGGGCTATATGACTATTTGGCCAGGAGCAGCCTGGGGAATCAGAGTACAGTGTACCAAGAATGTCATGCCACAAAGCAAACAAGCACATTAAAAGAAGCCTCTACTTAGAATATTTGCAACCCTGATGATATCAATGGAAACTATATTACAGCAGTAAATCTCTCACTAGATACACTTCCAGATGGTTGGACAGGCAATCTTTGGTCTATAGTGGATATGGGACCTCTGTTCTTTTCACATGGAGGGGAGGGATTGCCTGGGGCTGATGGGTAGAATGAATTCTGCAATGAACGAATTGACCTTGCCCCATATAGTTCATTCAAGCGAGGACACACTGTACTGTATTTTATCTGTACATTACTTATTCTTTATTCTTATTAGTTAAGTGTTTGATATTTTATATCATTATTTTATGTATATATCAAATATATACATCAAATGTAAATGTTGATATGAAACATAATTCCACAATTTTAAGTTGAGCCTGCAGCGAGGCTAGCATTGGTGAGCAGTGAATAGGTTGAAAGTTTGTCAAATGCTTCCATGCAATGAGTCAATTGAGAGATGTTATTGTTAATTATCCCATCATCTGCACTGTAATTTGCCTGTGTTATTAGCAAGATATCATACTGGAGCAATCATATTACTGAAGATTGTGGTATATTTTAAATAGTTGGAATACATTTCCATTTGAGAACAATATGACCACACAGTGTAGCATGGTATGACTAAGCATTCATCAGCTGACTGGTATTGTACTTACCTTTCAACCCAGAATGTTGTGGGCAGAAAGTTCCTGTTCTGCCACCCACCCTCGCCCCCTAACTGCCGCTGCATCACCCTCCTTCCCTGCCTGCCAGCCCCACCTGCTCTGCTCACTCTCCTTTGCCTACCAACCAGCCATCCTCATCCTCTCTACCCACTCTCCTTTGCCTGCCAACCAGCCAACCAGCCATCCTCACCCGCTCTGCCCACTCTCTTTAGCCTGCCAACCAGCAACCGCTCCACCCCGCTTGCCTGCTGCCCCGCCCTGACCACTCTCCTTCCTGGGCCAGACAGTCCCGCTACCCTGCCTGCCCCACCCTGCAACCCTGCCCTTCCTCCTTCCCTCCCAGCCAGCCAGCCCCACCCAACCTCCTTCCCTTCCTGCCAGCCTGCCTGGCAGGAAGTAGGAGAGGAAACGAAATCAGGAAGGAAGGAAATCAACCAACCAACCAGGTATGCCCACCCAACCAATCCCTCCCTATGCCTAACTGACTAGCTTCCTCCTTTCCTCCCTGCGTTCCTCCCTCATTCCTGCCTAACTCCCTAGCTTCCTCCCTCCTCCCTCCCTCCTCCCTCCCTCATTCCCTCCCTCATCCCTCCCTCCCTCCCTCATTCCCTCCCTCCCTCATTCCCTGCCTACCCCTCCCTCCCTCCCTCATTCCCTCCCTCCCTCCCTCACCAGTTTGCTGAAGAATTTTGTTACTTTCACAAGTGAAATTATCTAAATAATTGTGATGGGTTGCAAGAGTTATAAGAAGTGGTGTACAAGGATTGTTAGGCCAGGTGTTTCACTTGTTTATCTCTCAGTGGTAAAGGGTAACATTTTATGTTCGGCGGACAAGTTGACCCGTAGTTTTGGAGATATTTTCTGTGAGGGAGCCTCTTTGGCTCCTTGGAGCTATTGAACTGATATACGATATATTAGTTTGGGGCATCAGTCAATTGGAGTTCGGCCTACTGGGAACCACGAGCCATAACCTGGCTCCCTCATAGAGGCACAGGGAGCAATGGCCTATGGAAACCCAAATGTGGTTGGGGGCATTTGCTGTCTGTAATCAACCAGGGTTAGGAACCCAGAAAGTTAGGCATAAAAAACAGACCCCACTTGGTAAGAAATTACAACCTAAGACCAAACAGAACTCTCCCAATCTAAATAAAGAAACATCATACACCGCCACCGCACCGCCCTACCCAGAAGGGTGAGGAGGAAGCCCCGGTCTCCCCGCGCCGGCTACTCACACCTCCAGTTCGTTGGCTGATGAGATATGGGGGCGGAAGTCATTTATGGTGTCGATTTCTTGGCAGTCTTTGTGGTGTTTTTCTGCTACTTGTGGTGTGGTGGCCAGGTGTAACTACAGTGACTACACACTGTAAGTACTAACCTTGGGTTCTAGGGTTCCCTTCTATAGAGCCTTCATGATCCCACTTCCATAGTGGTTCTTGCTGTTTGGCATTTACCCTGTCTTGGGGCCAGCTGGGGTTTTGTGGCCTTTGGCCTTGGGTAGGAAGTGGTGTTGTTGCTAGTTGGGGGTGCAAGGTGCTGCGCTGCCTGCTTTCCTACGCAGCGGCCATATTCCTGTTCCTTCTGGTGGCAGTGTACTTTTGCAAGGTTTTTCTTTTATTTTTCTGTGGGGAGCCCCTACAGCTCCCTGGAGCTTATCGGGCTAATGTATGTTATATTAGACCAGGATATTAGCCTTAGAGTTCAGACCTACCAGGGACCATGAGCCAGAACCTGGCTCCTTCAGAGAGGTTTCAGGGAGCAATGGCCCTGGAAAACCCCCTTGTGGTTGGGGTTTTTCCTTATTTGCTATCGACTGGGGTTAAGCACCCAGAAAAGTAGGCATAACAAAACAAACCCCACATGGTAAGAAACTAACAACAAAAAACGAACAGAGAGGTAGAACTCCCTACAATCCCAAGGAAACAAGCAAACAAGCAGCAAATGTAACACACTACTCCCATGCCACTCGTCCGCGCAGCTCTCCCCGGACCTCACCACACTGGCTGCAAAGCACTCTAGTTCGTAAGCTAATGTCAACTGGGACAGACGCTTTTCTGGCCTCAGTTTCCTAGGCGGTGTTTGCCTTCGTAGTGCTCACTGCTGTGTTTTTGTGTTGTTCGATGGCCAGATGTTCCTCATCAGTACCGGAGCTGCATGCACTTTGGGGCTTCCTTCCCTAAGCGCCCTGTGAGTACTGCCCCTACGTGACAGGGTTATCTTCCCTGGGGCATTCGGAAACCATTCCCATAGAGGTTCTTGCTGCTCGGCATTTGCCTCACCCTTGGGACCAGCTGGGGCTTGGGGCCCTTGTTTGGCCTTAGGTAGGGACTGGTATTGGGCTGGTTAGGGCGTCAAGGTGTTGCGTGGCCTGCCACCTAAGCGGCGACCGGTTCCTGTTGCCTCTGGGAACGATGTACTTTTGCAGGGTTTTTCTCTGGATTTTATTTTCATTTGCCTGGTGGGGGTCTGCCTAGTGTGGTTATAGTTTCACTGGTAGTGTTTGGTGGCCCTCTGCTAGACCCCCGTGATTGTACACGTTGCAGGGGTTTTCAGTGTTGCATCTACCCCTTGTTAGCTATGGGTGTTTCACCAGTTAGCAACACCTTGCCTGGGCTTCCCATAGCAGTCAGCCTACGGGCCCTGGAAAAACCCTGTCGGGGCTCAGTGGACTATAGGATGTGTCTTCTGGGTTCCATCCCATCTTATGCGGGTTCGTTGGTTGCTGTGCCCTTGTCTCCGGGTGACAGTCGCCACTTTTATCTCTGTCATGCTGCCTGTTGGGTCACTGACACCTTGACCCGGAGTCTTGCGTGCTCACTTGGCGCCTTCTTCGTCTGGCCAGCGTGGTGCTCTCTGCCCATGTGTCGGCACTTTGTCTTTTTCTTTTCTTTATTTTATTTTTTCAATTTTAATTACATGAATATATGTATGTTTTTATACATTTTGTGTGTAATTACCTAAGTGTAATTACCTAAGTGTAGTTACAGGATGAGAGCTACGCTCGTGGTGTCCCGTCTTCCCAGCACTCTTTGTCATATAACGCTTTGAAACTACTGACGGTCTTGGCCTCCACCACCTTCTCACTTAACTTGTTCCAACCGTCTACCACTCTATTTGCGAAGGTGAATTTTCTTATATTTCTTCGGCATCTGTGTTTAGCTAGTTTAAATCTATGACCTCTTGTTCTTGAAGTGCCAGGTCTCAGGAAATCTTCCCTGTCGATTTTATCAATTCCTGTTACTATTTTGTATGTAGTGATCATATCACCTCTTTTTCTTCTGTCTTCTAGTTTTGGCATGTTTAATGCTTCCAACCTCTCCTCGTAGCTCTTGCCCTTCAGTTCTGGGAACCACTTCGTAGCATGTCTTTGCACCTTTTCCAGTTTGTTGATGTGCTTCTTAAGATATGGGCACCACACAACAACTGCATATTCTAGCTTTGGCCTAACAAAAGTCATGAACAATTTCTTTAGTATATCGCCATCCATGTATTTAAATGCAATTCTGAAGCTAGAAAGCATCGCATAGGCTCCTTGCACAATATTCTTTATGTGGTCCTCAGGTGATAGTTTTCTATCTAGAACCACCCCTAGATCTCTTTCTTTATCAGAATTCTTTATAGATTTCTCACATAATATATAGGTTGTATGGGGTCTATGTTCTCCTATTCCACATTCCATAACATGACATTTATTAACATTAAATTCCATTTGCCAGGTGGTGCTCCATATACTTATTTTGTCCAGGTCTTCTTGAAGGGCATGACAATCATCTAAGTTTCTTATCTTCCCTATTATCTTAGCATCATCAGCAAACATGTTCATGTAATTGTGTATTCCCACTGGTAGATCATTTATGTAGACACTGTACATTACCGGTGCAAGAACTGAACCCTGAGGTACTCCACTCGTGACATTCCTCCAATCCGATACCTTGCCTCTGATTATGGCCCTCATTTTTCTGTCAGTTAGGAAATTT